CTGTGAGCTAGCATGTGCTTGGGAGTCTCCATACCTTCTTCATCTTCGGAGAGTAGATGCATGTGGATAGCTCCATTCATGTTTGTCATTAGGCAGCATCTAAGCAGAAGTTCTTAGTGTTGTATAATACCAAATTGTTGAACTTAGACACTTAGGAAGGTGATGTTCTCAAAGCTATAATAGATGCATTAATAGAATAGTTTCCACCTGAGTGCCTACCAGAAAGAACTAAAAGGTATGTGGCTGTTTTCTGGCAGCTGAGTCATTAGGGCCAATAATTTAATTTTTCCATGGAGTATGATCTCACCATGCAGTCAGAACTCATAATGCATTCATGCTATTTTATAGTGCTACAATGGGATAGTGATGCTAAAAACATGCATTTATTTTGTCATTGTGAACCATATGCATAATATTACCTATAGAAATATTTTTCCAGTTGTATTCACTTATGCTAACACACTGTGATTTTAATGCTACTTTCACAATACAGAGGAGAAAATTAAACAACAAAAGACAACTCCCACTGTGAAATCAGGTAAGAATAAGTCCTTCTCTCCTGATTTATAGAGGGGTGTGGGGAGTGTTAAACACTATTCAGCACTCATCTAATACAGTATATTTTTATTGCAATAATTTTTTACAGTATTTTGAAATATGTAACTGATAACACTTTCTTAGAGCAAAACTAGCAGAGTGGCAGTTGCAGATACCATTTTAGGAATAATCTTTCCAATGATGAAGACAGGTCAAGGACTTTCAGCCCCTGAGCTGCTTGTTCCAGCCTCTTTGCCAGAGCTGGGCTAATGAAATGGGGTACAGCTGTAAATCAGATCTCTGAAATGATCTCAAATATGAAGATGAATCTTCAGTTGAATTAGGAACTTGGATCAGCCTTAAACTGGCTATTTCAGGAGGAAAATGGTTTTGGAAGCAAAGTCTAAATCTTTGAGGCTTTTCTACGATTTAGACTGTGTAAGTTTTGTATTGTAATGCTGGCAGAAAAAGAAAAATCAAGTAATATTGACTGTTATAGCAGCTGTGAAGAGTCAGCCAAGGAATTAGAGTATTCTCATCATCATTAGCAGTCGACACAAAGCTGTTTTGAAGGATTTTTCATAACCTCTTGATTTCTACTCGGGGTAGCCTTGATCCAAACATAAAATGAAAGATTGTCAAATCTTGGACAATGACGTCAACAATGGATTTTCATTTGATATGGTGATGATTTCTGTTCTTGTTTTGTATATGTCTTTTCTTCTTTGCAGTAGCAGAACAGATATTGTACAGAGTATTATGGTTCTATCTCTAATGCTGTACATCCGTAAAATTTGTGGGCTTATAGTGCTACCTATAAAACCTATAATGATAGTCTATCCTTTTACTATGAAATTATGTTTTAGAGTACTCTGATTATCCAATAAAAATACTGGTTTGATAGTTTATATCTGATTATAAACTGCTGTAGATTTTTCAAAGCCATATAAATTATGTTTCTTTTAATACTTTTTCAAGTGTTTTTAATGTTTTCTTTTAATTACTGACAAATACTTCAATATATTTCTAACCTGAATAGTTAATAAGTTAGCAATTACTGATAGGTAAACAAGTTTCAAGAAGGAAGAAATTACATTTTTGAATTTACAGGATTTTCATATCTTAATTCCCAATTTTGTTTTTATGGTCAGCTAACTTTCTCTCTTAGCTTGTGACCAAAAATTAAAAAGTTCAAGTGTTTGGAAACAAAACTGAGAGAAATATCATGACTTTATTTTTTGGAAGATGTGTTCAAGTCATGTGATTACTGTGTCTTTTTCCTATTTGTTGGAACCAAACTGAAATTACAACATTTCAGTTTGACCAACTTAACATAAGTTAGTACAGAAATAATTGTCAGTTTTCAGATCAATACCTGTTGAGCTTGAAACAGGCAACTTCAAACAGTAGGAAAGTCATCCCTTCTTTCTTTAATAAATATTTTATAATTACATGAGTTAACCCCTGGAGATGGTTAGTACTCCTCTGACTATGTAGACTTGATGTGCTCTTGATCTTGCAAATCTGATGAATCTTAATTAAAATTTCCAGTCATCTGTTGACTAATCTGAAGCTACTTCTGATTTATGCCATGACACAGGGAGAAATAATCCTGGAATGCATAAATATGCTACAGTGCTAAATGACAGGATAATGCATTATCAGCAGGAGGTGATAACTAGTGGGAGCTGCAAAGATCTAAACATGTTGCCCTACCTTAACTTTATCAGTTTAATGCTGTGCATCTTTACACAAGTAGGGGAAGCTAAGAACAAGTAAGAACTCACTACTATAAAATATTTGAATGTTTAAAAAGAAAGGCAAAAGAAAAGAGTATTTTCTCTTTGTATCTAAATACTACAGTTCAACTTTTTTTGTCTTCTGTAGTCCAGGCAAAGCCAGCAAGCATGTGATTCCTACCTTGATCAGAAAAATTCCTGTAAAATAGCTGGATATGTGGGTTTTTGTTTGTTTGTTTGTTTTCTTTTACATAAAGAAACCCTCCCTTGGCAATTTCTAGTTTTGCTAAAATTATAATGCCTTTATCACCATGCCTTCCTTTTTTTTCATTTAAAATATTGTCTTGTCATTGCTATTTAAAAGTCAATTTGACATAATCAATTGCTTCAGTACAGGAGTCAACTTGTTCTAATCACAATTCTCAAGAATAAAAATTAATACAGGATTTACAAGTTTCTAAAAAATTGCTGTTAACAAATATTTTCATTGAATTAGTGCACCTGCTCATTTAAAAAAAAAAAAAAAGATAAACTATTTTAATATAGTTGCATCCTGAATTCTTCTCAGTCAAAAAGTGCTCAAGAAAGAGTCCATATCTTAACTTATCACACAGCCTGCTTGTTGTTTTATTATGTCTTTCATACCTTTAGAATCCAAAGTAAACTTCAAAAAAAAAAAAAAATTACTTCCTTAAACAATTTCATAATCAAAAAAAGTCCAGATATGGGAAATACATCACTCTACGCTGACACTGGTTTTCATTCACATCTCATAAAACTGTTTCCCATTTGAAATTCCCTATCATGTGTTCCTCTTGGTATTTCTTGACAAGTATCTTCACCTGAAATCACAGTTACTAGGAGTTCAATTATTCATCCAAGTAGCAGAAAGGCATATGGATCTTTTTCAGAGGCCATTCACATTTTCAACACTTTCCACTTTGCAGCCCACTTTAGCGTCCTCATTGCTCAAAAGGAAACTGATGCACAGTCCTCTAGGTGTGGAAAACATCACCTGGAAACAAGGCCAGCAAAGCTGTCCATTGATTCCTCAGCCCTGAGATGCATTGTGACCCCAGTTTGCATTGCAGAGCTGCTACTATGCTATGAGATCTATGGGGTGGGGTTTTCTCAAAGTAATATTAATTATAATTTTTTCCAGTAATAATTATGAAATAGAAGAGGGGGAAGGGGTGAAGATGAGACGCATTTATCACAGCTAAATATAATTTATTCATCTGGATAGCACATGTTCAGGAATTTGGGAATTCAGCTCAAGCATATCTGAATCAACAGCATAAAGGCTGAGAAAATAGCTGCTGAGTTTGCTCTATGCTCTTCTTTGAAATAATAAAAATGGAAAGTAGATACAAATTACATTTCAAAATTGAGAGGAGACCCTGTTAACTGACTTCTTCCTTAAGATACATGCATAACTCTTAGTGGAATTATAGTTACATGTGTTGAGCTATGTACACTACTAATGAATTTTGTTATTTTGTGACAGATCCTTGAGTGGATAATTTGTAAATAACCACCCATGTGTTTGTGTTTTTTTCAAAATAACAGCATGAAACGAGAGAAAATGAATGCTTAATCCTGAAAAATATACATGCAATCCTTCTTAGTTAAAACAAAAAAAAATCAGAAACAACACAAAAACCCCAACCAATCAGAAAAAAACCCACCAAAACATCCATACAAAATGTAACTTAGAAACATAATAGTGATTTTATTATGCTGTTTCTTTCATCTAGAGCATGAAGCAGTCAGACAACAAAAAGATGTTCCACGAACAAAACCAGGTAAGGACATTTTATGTATTCATTACTTTTGAAAATGCTATTTAAAGAAATAGAGAAATACAACTGTATATGACAAATGTCAAAGTCATGGCTCTGTGACCTATTTTGCTGTATAGAAAGGCCTTGACATGCCATACCGTAACTAAGATAGCACAGTGCTCATTTACAATGTGGGCTGTCATTTTAAGATATAGACATATGTATATATCAAAGGTCAAATTTCTGCTTTTGTAATTCTGTTGATGACAAAGGCATATGCCAGCAAGCAATTTGAACCATTTTCTGAAATTGCTTACTTTAAATGGCTTCATTTTGCTAATTATTTGTGGGTATCTGCCATTTATTTGGACTTCACAGTCTTCCTGTATGAGTTAACTTGCCAGGATGAGGAACAGTTTAATTTTTATCCATAGCAGATAGTTTATTCAGATCATGATCTGGCACTATCCATCATCTGTGGTAAATGTCTCTGCATAACATAGCTCATGCACAGCCTCACTTGTACAAGACAGAGCGAAATTGCTGGTGGGTTAGGAAGAGCATTGTTCAGTTTCTCTGTGTAGCAGTCATAGTGGGTTTAAGAAATGTCTGCTCCATGTTTCTCCATGGAAGGAAATAAGTGAAGAATTAAAATTCTTATTTTCATTATTATTCATCTTTAGCAAAACAATTATCATCTCTAGATGAGAACATCCTTATTACTATTATTCATTATTAGATTGTTATTAATTACTGTGATATTATTAAAAATTGTTTTGATACGCAGGAGTCATATAGAACAAATAAAGCCATTCTCTGCTATAACAATACTATGCTGAACCTGACTGGTCTGACCACTTTTCTTTCCTCTTTTTACTTCCCAGTCAAACCGAAAACCACTGCAAGTATGTGACATATCTTGTTTCTTACAGAGTATAAACCTTCTTTTCAGATGCATGTTGTCTCAGTTTGCATTTTTGTAATTTTGTCATGTTAGGTAATGTTTCTTGCTTATACTACAGATACTCTTGTACTGTGCCTGCTTACTAGCAGCTTAACACGACAAAACTAAGTACATTTATACTGTAATATTTGGAAGCTACAACATTCAAACTACTTTTGCACTTTTTAGTTCTTATAAAATAAATTACATTGGTAGCAAAATTGATGTTCTGGTGATTTTAGATGAATTTAAATGCATGATTTATCTTTATGCAAATATATTGTTTATTGAAAATGGCATGTAGCATAACTGAATTAGACAGCCTTTTCCTTACTTCTTTTACCATTTTGAAATTACTTATACCATTAATTCACTAAGCACGTTGTTGGACTTGTTTCAATACAATATTGTTTTCCTACTTTAATAAAAATCCTAAATTAAATTAAAGAAGAGAAAGGAATATTTCAAATTTAGATGAGTTTTAAGGAGGATTCAAGGGGAAGTTCTCATATTACAAATACTTCCAGTGAAGTCATTGCATAATGTTGTTTTTAAAGTCACTAAGACTTTTGTATGGATAAAAACTGGGATCTGTTCTTACTGTGGCAAGTCATTACACATTACATACTGCAAATCATGGTCAGACAAGAATCAGAAGGACAGTGCTTACACTGCATGCTTTGAATTGTGAAAATATTGAGGTATGGACCTTCACAGATGGATTAGTTGTAGCTTTTTTAGCACAGGATCTATCTTTTCTTTTTTTGTACTGTGCCCGGCACATCAAGACCAAACCAAGTGTTATTCTGCAAAGTAATCTGTGAAGTGTATCCGAACCCAAGACCAAGCCTTATGAGGCACTGATCTCTTCCTGGTCGGGGTCAGAAGCTGACAACAGGGCAAGGAAAACTGATTCCATTAAACTTCCTAAATCAGTCACCTATATTAGCTGCCTAAAGTTAGAGAAGATAAATACCTGCTCTTAAACACCTGTAGGAAGACACAGTACTATTTTGAACCCCATCTCCAAAGAGAAAGTGTGAATACAAAACATCTGAAATGTACCATACCAACACTGAAGGATTTCCTGTAATACTGCATTGCAGTTTTTGCGTTATCATTGCAAAATTATTACTTCCTCTGAAGCTATTCATGGGTTCATTTCCAGTTTTGGCAGTATTTTAAGAAAAATTCCTCTTTTTGATTCCACTATTCAGGTTTGTTCAGTCTTGTTTTCACTGGATCTGTTCACTGACATTTAATGTCTTCTGCATTGTTTTATCTGAGAGACCCAGTGATGGCACTCACTACTGTGAGAGAACCATCAGAGATTTAAGTGACTAATTCCTCACGCTTTCTTCACTGAGGGTCTCTTTAACCCAAAATCACTGTCTACAATGCTTTTTTATCAAGAGAGATACTACATTACCCTGGCATATTGTGAATATAAGGAATAGCCGAGATATTTTTCCTTGACCTTTGCAGAGGGCTGTTTAAACCACATTCTTGAGCTTATATCTAGCTGCTTGAAATGATTATAAAGGTTAACAGTGCCTTTAGAAAAAGAAAAAGAATTAAAACCAGTAACAAGTAGACCTGTAGTCATACACAAAAGTGATTCTCTATACATTGCCTATTTTGACTTAACCATCCTTGAATAGATCTAGTTTAGGATTTTAAACCCCAGAGCTATCTCTTTTAAAATTATTTTCTCCACTTACAGAAGTACACTTATTTGGATCACTGCCCTTTTTATTTCTAGGGCTCTATATAGTTTTGCTTCACCTATTTCTTAGCCAGGTGTACTGTATACTTGCCATAACATGAACATAGCTATCACGTAATTCACTATGAAATATAGTATTGGACATAAAATACTCACTGATTTTGCAGTTCAGGTCTAGTAGGAATGTACTAGATTCATACATTTCATACATTTATGTACTAAATTCATACATTTATCCTGGGCTGAATTTATTCCCACACTGTATCCTGTGCAGTCTTACTGTAAAGCAAACGGGATTTAAAATAGTAGAGAGATTGGATCATTAGGTGAATGACACATATAGACAGAAAGACAAGGCTGAGTGCCCAAATTAACAATACATACAATTTTTATAGCAGTAGCCTCCTGTCATGGTCTAACCAGGCAGGCAGCTAAACACCAGCCACTCACTAAATTTTAAAAGCAATTGACAAACTATCTTATTTTTCATTATTTCTGTTTTTCTCATGTACAAGAGGTTTTGACGGCCATTGATCCTATATCAAACCTAAAGCGTAACGAAACAGAGTTTACTCCCTACATATTGACTAAAGACTCACAAATTGTGAGACATTACCTTGAACAGAAGACAAAGCTGAAGGCAAATCTTACACATGCAAGAATACCAAACTGCAGTTTGAAATCAAGGAGATGAACATGCAGGCTGGATATTTTAAGAGAAAAAATAAGAATTGGCCAAACTATATTCCCGTTTAGTTCTATAATGAAAGTCCCATGATAGGGGTAGTATGTTTCTCAAGGTCCCCAGAGCAAGTGGAACTTTGTTGATGCACTGAGAAGTCAAACTGACTACCCTTGAGGTTAAAAGTGTTCCAGGACCTCACTGTCTAAGGGAATCAGTCATTAATCCTAAATTAGGATACATGCAGATAACTGGGCCCATCCAGATCCCTCAGAAAGATAATCCCTCAATTAAGGAGTCAGAGCATGAAACCTCTTCCCAGATTTAGTACCTCAGACAAATCTTATTTTTTTCTTCCATGGGTCACAGTGCAGTACTATATCAGTTTTCACAATGCAGTACCATATCAGCTTTCAGCAGCTACGAGCATGATCATAAGCAAAAAAGTAAACATTAAAAGGATTTTAGAATGTTAGCATTTAATAGCAGCAAAACTGGCCTTTACTGAATGCCCGTGGTGCCTAAGGATTGAGCACTAACATTTATGGGTCTCCTCACGAACTAAGACTTGAATGAAAGATTCCTGGGATATGTTAGTGAAAATTATGTTTAATTGCTCAGTCTTCCTCTTGAAAAAGCATTGACTGAGACACTTTCACCTTGGTGTAGGGTGTAGAGCCTCATGTTCACTGAAGCCAAAACTCAACAGGAGGAAAATACAGAGATAATTCAATCAAAAGATACAGTAAAATGTTTTGTGAGCTTATTCTCTTTGTCCAGCTCCAGGTTCAGGGAACAAAGGCTTTGCTTAGATAGTGAGGTTATTCTTCTTAAATGGTATTTTAAAATAAAACTGGGACTAATGAAGTAGTGATGGGTAAAAAATTCTTGGATTCAAAATCTAGATTTAATTCATTGCTTTGATTTAAAAAGAGCCATGATGGTTTACACAAGAGAATTTCTATTCCATTGAATCGACAAATTTCCATTCATTATTATGGGTATTAAAATAGCACAAGAATATATGCTTCTCTTGTGCTAGGTGCTGCAGAAAGATGTAGTCAAAATCTTTCCAGCTCCCGAGAGATTTTACTCTTAAAAGGCAAGGTAAACTACTAAAGTGGGAGAAACACACAGGGGTGAATGCCAGCTATTCAAGGTCAGTGACAGTTTTTCCTTGGAATGTGTGGATGATAAGAAAGGTAACATTTAAACTGAATAAATTTTTTTGAAAATAGCATAGCCATCTGTAACCTTGAAGGCACATTTAGAAATAAGTCTATTTAAATATTTGTTTGCTGGAAGGCTTTGATTGGCACAGTGTTTGCATTTGCAGTAACCATTGCAAGTTTGATTGTAGTACTTCAAAGATTAAGACTGGTAACTTTCAGTGTGAAACTACTTACACACCCATTGTTAAGGCACATTTCTTTGTAAATAATTATTCTGAGAAAAGTTGCAGATGAAAGAGAACATCTATATAAATTATTGCTTGCCCCGAAAAAAACATGGTACTCAACCTCTTATTCTTTTCCTTCCCTGACATCTTCCTCTTCATCACTGATCATTTTCCCGAAGAGCCAACAGCTGAAATCCCAACAGCAGGTAAATATTACATTTCTCTGCTATGCCTTATAGAAAGAATTAATGACCAAACCAGTGTTGATTAATGCATACTGCTCATCAACAACAAACAATGATAATGTAAAGCAGCATGGGTGAACTGACAGCATTGCTGCTACGCAGTTCTCTGCCATGGACTGATTTGATTGGCTGATCACGTGATTTTCACTGTTTATCTTCTGCAGCACATCTTGGTGAGCTAGACACAGGTGATCCTCACTGAGCAAGCTAGTGTTAATCAGATAACATATGCACCAGAAGACATGGAAGAAAGCATTATCACAACTGGTTGGATGATGCAAAGTGCAAATGAACAAACAATTTGAAGGCAGCCTGCTACTTTTCTGCTGTAGTCAAGAGGGAATACTGAAATGGACTCAGATGCCTGAAGCAATACACTTTATTTAATTTCAGTCTGCCCTTTTGAATGGAATCAAAGACCAAATGTGTTTGCAGGCTGGGGAGAAGGATGCTGAAAAGAAAAAAAAGCGCATGCTCTAAGTGAATGGACAGTTGGGGAAAAAAATCCTTAAATAAAATAAATTACAGTCTGTTGCTGTAGGACTTCTGAATGGTCACATTTGGCAGTTTTAAAGGTCCATCTAGCTCCATATCCTGGGGTGTTCTGTTTGTTTAATTTTTTCAGATGATTGAGATTGCTCTGGGAAAGGGAGTAAGAAACAAGCAATAGGTAGAGGGATCCTTCCCCAGTGCATTTTGGCAACAGATAATTAGGGAAACCTGGCAGTAGTTAGGGAATTACAGAATTCAAGTGCCTTAAGTCTTTATCAGGATTTTCTAAACTACTCTGCAACCAGCAATATTCAAACAATTTCCAACAGCTCTACGTAAAGCCCAGAACTGCTGTTGCCACTAAGGGTAGCAGCCACTGTTATAGTATTAGAGACATTGTATACGTGCCATGAGACACATTTACCACTGTAATTCTTCCAGGGAAATTACAAGGGAGAGAATCTTTGTGCAATATATTTATTGTAAGAGCCCTGTATTTCTGATGCCTGTCACGTAATTTTATTTCCTTGCAAATCTCTCTAGTTGCAAAAAAACCAAAACCAAAGACGACTAAGGAAAAAGAAGGTAGGAATTTACTCTGTGTGTGCATATATATGTAGAAAATAACAATAAAAATAACACGAGATTGCAAATTTGCATGTATTGTTGTTTGAAACAACCCCTAAAATATCTGCATTAATTTTCAAAGAATATTACTAGACAATTCTAGGTAATAATCTATTCAGCAGTCAGCTTACCAAACTTAAACTGTGCTACTTTTTCCTTGCTAGAAAAACCAACTGAGAAGAAACAGATGAAAAATGAAAAAACCAAAGGTAATAAAGGCATAAGTATCTTTGTAAACAGCGATAAAAATGCAAACATTAGGTTTTGGGGGTTTTTATGGGGTTGGAAAAAGGAGCTTTGTTAGTCTTTCTACATATGTCCAAGTAAACCAAAATGATAATATTGTACATAAATCTCCGGTAATTGAATGCCTGGTGGCTCCTTTGCATAGGAGTATCAAGGATTACATCAGCACATCCAATCTGGCTGCAGCGGTGCCCTGCCCGTGACCCTCCCTGGCTGGCACAGAATTATCCTCTCTGCAGGGTTCTCCAGCACTGCAGCCGCAGGATTAGCAGCCCCCACTGTGTCTGATGTTATGCTCCCTACTGAGGTAGTGCAAAGTTCGTCTCCATAGCCTGTGTGATACCAGCTTCATACTGTAGAATAACTACACTGATAAGAAACATTTTTTTATACATTAGACAGACTTCATGATCACCTATATTCTGGCTACCCTGTTAGACACAGCACTAGCTTGTTTTTTTTTCCCCACAGTAATATACAAATGGAGAAATGGTTTCTGCTATACCACTAAAGATAATTAATAGTAATAAATTACACTATTTTATTAAGGAAGTGATTGAAGACATAAATATCTTCCCTACATTGGTTAAATACAGTGACTTACATATAAAATTGAAGTCCTGACCCTCAAAGGATAACAGTTAGTTGTACTGGTGCAAGTCCCCTAAACTAATATCTAGAAGCAGCTTGCTTTCATGGTTTCACTGGACATAAAATTTCTATGTTTAAATAATTTATTAGGAGAGTCACGCTTAAAAGAAATCTGGTTTATAGAAATTCCTATCTGAGATTTGATTCCAAGAAACCAACATACTTCTGACTGAAATTAATTTCAGTATTTTGACCTGAAAATGGAGATTAATTTATTATCAACATTTTGTCCTTTAGGTACCCCGCCAGCAAAAGAAGCTCCACGACATCAAAATCTGACATCAGGTACATGATTTTCCTTTATTATAAAGGAACTTCCTTTCAGGAAGGCTGTGGTTTATTGTTTATTTTTGTTCGGTTTGTTAGTTTTTTGTTTGTTTGTTTGTTTGTTTTCTGTAAGGGAGATCACATTTGCAATCTTTTCTCTTTTCGAATTCAGGTCTAAGGTACAAAATGTGAGGCAAGCCAGGCAAATCAAATCAATAAATATTGTTCCTGTGAGGAATAAATTGCTGAAACCGTGTCGCTTTACCACCTTCCTAAACTTTTAAAAATATATTCAGCTGATTACTTTATTAAGCAAGTGGTCTGTAATTAATTTGGCACGCAGTGTTTAAAACAAGTGTATTGTCCTCATAGAAAATCTCTTCTGTAACATAACTACATAGGGAGAAACGTATTCAATTTCTTTTCTTTCACGTTAATAAATATAGTCTTCCATCATGCTCTGTCGCAGTCCCCCTCTGGCAAAAAAGCTGAATAAAGGTAGG